TGTGTGAGTGAGTATGTGTGTGAGTGTGTGTGTGAGTGAGAGTGAGTATGTGTGTGAGTGTTTGTGCGTGTCTTTGTGTGTGAGTGTGTGTTTGTGTGTGTGTGTGAGTGCGTTTGTGTGAATGTGTGTCTTTTTGTGTGAGTGTGTGTGTGTGTGTGTGTGAGTGTGAGTGTTTATGTGAGCGTGTGTGTGTGTGTGTGAGTGTGAGTGTTTATGTGAGCGTGTGTGTGTGTGTGTGAGTGTGAGTGTTTATGTGAGCGTGTGTGTGTGTGTGTGAGTGTGAGTGTTTATGTGAGCGTGTGTGTGTGTGTGTGAGTGTGAGTGTTTATGTGAGCGTGTGTGTGTGTGTGTGAGTGTGAGTGTTTATGTGAGCGTGTGTGTGTGTGTGTGAGTGTGAGTGTTTATGTGAGCGTGTGTGTGTGTGTGTGAGTGTGAGTGTTTATGTGAGCGTGTGTGTGTGTGTGTGAGTGTGAGTGTTTATGTGAGCGTGTGTGTGTGTGTTAGGGCTGCACGGTATTGGAAAAAACTCACATTGCGATATTTTATTTTTCTGCAATATATATTGAAAAATCACCTTCACCACATGACTTGAATAGTTTATTTGGAAAACAAAATCAATGATTGGGGTGATTTTGTAGGCGAGTAAATCAGCATAGGAAATATACAAATTACAAGCACAGATAAATAACAGAACAAAGATACAAATGAAATAAGCAGTGCTTTATATTTTTCAGGTAAGTCTACCAGTATTCAGGTACAGAAATTGAAGAATCAAATGTAAAACAACACTGCATAGTTTTCACTATAAACTAAATCTATCTTCACTGTATAAATTAAATCTAACAAATCTGTGTTATATTTTTCTTTGTGTTTTGTTGTTCGATTAACATTCATAACACAGAAAGCCTCAGGAATATTAAACTGCTGTAAACCAATATAGGCTACTGTTACACATCCATTTTCTTTCTCGATTGTTTCCCTTCACCTACAGAAGTGAACAGAGTTCAGTGTTCACGTGCATCTGCGTGGCTCACACTGTGTCTACACCGGACGCGAGCTGCACGGCGCGACGCGACAAAATACAATGAACCCATTATAATCAGTGATGCTGTCAGTCTACACTGGATGCGGTGTGGCACGACAAATCCTCGACAGTAAACTGATGCTCGTTCTACTTATGATGTACTGACACAAAGTTCAAATGATATGTAACGGTCGCTTTGTCGCGTCCAGTGTAGACAGACTTTGGGGCCGTTCACATGGCGCGCCTAAAAGCGCGTGGGAAACGCCAGCCGCGCCGCTTTCTCCTTCTTTCCAAAGTGCTCGGGAGCTTGCGCTTTCTCTGCCGTTGCTAAGCAACTGTGACCTGCGCTCTCAGCGACGACGCGGAAGTTTCAACAAAGGATAAATGGATTTCCAGCTGGGTGTTCACATTGCGATATCGATGCTGAAACGATATATCGTGCAGCCCTAGTGTGTGAGTGTGTGTGTGCACGTGTGTGTGTGTGTGTGTGAGAGAGTGAGTGTGTATGTGTGTGATTGTGTGTGTGTGTAAGAGAGAGTGTGTGTGTGTGTGTATGTGTGTGTGTGATTGCGTGTGACTGTGTGTGATTGTGTGTGAGTATGTGTGTGTGTGTAATTGTGAGTGTGTGAGAGTGTGTGTGTGTGTGTGTGTATGTGTGTGTGTGAGTGT